GGGGTTGTAATTGCCAGACTGTGATTCCTGAAGCCCTTTTTGCTCTGAAGTTCATGGATCCAGTTTGACCCCTTTGCTTAAAATCAAAACCTCAGCCTGGCAGCTGAGTAGCCTCTTAATTCAGGGTATATGATCTGGGCCCCAAACCTCATATTCTCCCCATCCCCAAAGCTCTGGGTATGACCTTTGGATGTCGCTGTGGAATTATAATTTTTCATCTGACCAAAAGGGGAAGCTGTTCAGTACACGGGGGAGCATGTTTAACTCTTCACTGCACTTAATTCCAAATTCAAGCAAACCTTCCTTTTTTCTCCTGGCTCCATCCAGTTTCGGAGCGTGACTCTTGTTCCCCCAAAGATCGCCCGCCTCCCTTCTCTAGATTCAGCAGTGCTCTCTTTCATTCGCCGCCCTGATTTCCATCAGATCGATGGGCGACCTCATAAATGTAGTTCCTAACTTCCTAAATAAAGTAAAGCATTCCGCCTTTGTCCAACCCTCTCCTGGTCCATCGATGGACAAAGTCTCCTTTTCATCTTTCTTTGGGGGTTAAATGAATCTGGTTACTTCCGTTCTGCTTCCAACAGACATCTGCCTCTTCTGCACCACGTCTGGCTTGGCTGGGTTTCCTGCTTGGCAGGATGGGCTCGGGGAAGATCCAGGGCAGGAACAGCCGAGACTGCAGGTGCTTTGGCGTGGCTTTGCCCCCGTCCAGGCACTCATTCCCTGGGCCTTGTCTGGCCCTGCTTGGCAGAAACACCTTTGAGTCAATAGCTTTGCCTGTCTTCTAGCACCAACTTGAAAGGAAACGGGCCCGTTTCCTCTTGTTTTATTGAAAAGCGTCAGCAGGCCTTAGTATACAAAACTAGATATGAGGAAGAGAGTAGGGGGAGGTGATTTTGGGGGTGGGAGCGGGGTACCCCAAGGCAGCCTGTTGATTCTGAAGACATCAGACGAAGCATTTGCTTCAGCTCGATCTTCCAAATCTCTTCCTTTCTTTTATTACACCCCTTTTGTTTAGCACCACGCAGAAGCAAGCCACTCCTGAGTGGAAGGTGGAGGTGCGCATGCACACACTTGCCAGTGGAAAATCCACCTTTGGAATGGCATAAAATTCAGTTTCTTTCCATGCTGTAAGTGCTGAGTTTTCTGTGGCTGGGAGTTGCAAGATAGACTGGCTGGCTGGTTGTCAAAAAATTACATCATATCGGAGTAAACTGCTTTTAAATCAAACATCCATTATTCATGCATATTAACTGTTTTCTGTCTCCTCCCTCCCCCCCCTTTTTTTAATTCTGCACTCCCCCTCTTGTTCCCCATTTTTCACCCTGCGTAGCGACTGGTCTGAGAAGGTTTCCATGTCTTTTGGCTCCCTCCTCCAATTCCCACTCTCCCCCTCTAGTCAGTTTTCCAAATCTTAGCTCATCTGTAGATTTATTATCAAACTAGTATGCTTTGCTGTGTATGAGCATGTATTTCACTGTCCATGTGCTAACTGTACATTTGTTAATAGACAGGTTTCATAGCGTGCGGCTGAACATCATATTTAGAGTAGGCAGATAGAGCTGTTCCCCACAGCTACTGTCATCAAATGTACAACTTTGTCATAGTGAATTAAATGTTGGAGAGAATATAAAGGGAGAGCCACGGTGGCAGGGATATCACCCAGGGAAGTCACAGGTTCAAATCTTCCTTCAGTTATGAAACTTGCCCTCCGTGCAATTTAATCCAACTTGTCTGAGCCAAGAGTCACATTTGGGATTGAAGTAACATTCCAAAAATTAGAAGGTGGGGCCCAGAAAAAAACAGGTTTTGCTCTTAGCAGTTAATGAAA